AAGTAAAGCTGTACATACTGTTAAAGGCTTTTAAAATCTTTAAATGTCTCTGGGTCTGCTATATACAATGCATATGACTGCTGCCCACTTTGATAATTTTCTTAGAACTCAAGTACGAAAAAGACTTTTAACAATAAATTGATTACAGTTGACCACTGTTGAATACTCCTCTATTTTCTTTACAGTTGGTTACTGTTGAATACTTATTTATTTTCTGTAAATACTCCTCTACTTTCTGTGCTGTTAACCACAATTAATTACTATAGTACTTTTATATTTTCTTTGCAGTTGACTACTGTTGAATAGTAGTATTGAACCCGAGGTTCTATTACTTTTTGCAGACCACTACTGAATACTTCTATATTTTCTTTACAGTGGATTAACTACTGTTGAATACTCTCGAGGCCCTATTTTCTTTGCATTTGACTTCTGTATTGAACATTTCTGTACTCTCTGTGCGATTAACACTCTCCTCTTCTTTTTTTGCAGTTGTAAGTAATTGATATATGCTGAATACTGTTCTATACATGTATGTAAAATTATCAGACTGTTTGAGGCCCGTCAGGGCCGAAAACTGTCTGATAATTTTACATATAGAATAGTATGAGGCATATATCTTACTTAAAACATTGCCATTCAAATGTCCAAAAGTTACCTGGAGGAGTTCGATAATAACAAAATGGGAGTTCAGGCATCCGTTGTTTTCTACCCGTCTTATAAGTAGACAAAAGAAATTAGACAGTCAAAACAGTGAATGAACTCGTTTCATTTCATTCATATAATGGCAGTCGTTTGCTAAGCAGGACAGGGGTCCAGTGGTGAAGGATTTTCTTTTTATTTTCAAACATTTTTATTTATTATATGCATAAATTGACATTGATACAAATATAATTTTGGGTAAAATTATTACCTGTACCATGGAAAGTAAAAATGCGGATTTTTATCCTGGAGTGTTAGTTTAAATAATGGAAATTCTCGGGTTTTAAAAGTGCAGCCTTCTGGAAACAATCCTTATAAAATTAACAGATTTTCATATTTTACCTCAGAAATGGATTTAAATTCGCTTATTCAAAGTGCTGTATCAAAAACACTTAAAAATGGTGGGACCTATTAATTTTGAGGAAGGATTAAAGTAGATTTTTTGATGGATTTGCTATTTTGTAGCAACTTAATTTTCTTGCATATGCTTTCCCTGAGTTTTTTCCTAACCCTTTTTTGGGGGGTGGGTGGGGGGTGGGGTGGGGTCTGGACATATTTTACGTTTATTTCACTCTTGGTTTTGTTTTTCAAATATCGTCCGAGTTTGTAATAATTGCCGTCCGATAATATATCATCAGACTGGTAATTTTATTATCGGACAGCTACAGGTAAATTTTTAGACTACAAGATCAAGGGCATGATGTCACAGCAATGTTTTAAGCTGTAGTATACTCCTCTCAACTCTCAATTTTCATTGCAGTTGCTTATTGTTGAACAGATCTATATTCACTGTGTAATGAAACACTCTTCTTTACAACTGTTACAAGATTTAGTTTTTGCAAAAAGTAACTAGTAATCTTCAAAATTATCCAGTTAACTTTGTTCGAGCTGCATGAAATGATTTCTTACTTTTGTTGACTCGAATATTATTTTTAAAAAATCCCAAGATTATGATTTTCAACATAAGTTACCAATTTATCACAGATTTTCATCAAATAGGCCAAATAGTGTATGTATATACATTTAACTTCAAGTAATGTTGTGTGGTTCCCTCATGAAGATCAATGGTTTGCATAATTGGTACTGCAGACGCTAATACATCTACATGTAAAGCTTCCGTTCAAATTCAAAGATTTCAAATAATCAAATTTCTGAACAGCATAAATCTCCCTAACGAGACAAGTACATGAAGGGTTGTCATTCTACTTTATATAAATAAGGTTGGAAAGAATACCTAAATAAATATGCGTTGAAACAGTTATTAAGTCCCTAACTGAATAGAAAAATGACATAACATGTACAGACTGGATATCATAAGCAAAAGCATTTATTGGATTAACCAAGTTAGAGTACATGTAAGTAAAACTTATGTTTGATTGACACAAATAAAAAACGTCAATTTAAGATAATAAAGACTTTATAATGCAGATGCATAAAAAGGAAAAGAATTGTATTGACCTGCTTAGTTATGCATGCATACAACTATGTAAAAACACATAACTATAAACTCCAAAATTTCAGTAATTTGATGAACAACAATCTTACTTATGTTGACCAAAACACTTTCTCTGGATTACGAAACCTGCGTTACCTGTAAGTATTTGTTTTATTGTTTTCAATATTTACATAATATTTACGTTTTTTAAACTATAACAATAAAAGCATTCAAGATTCTAGTTTTTTACTATATACCTAATGTGTATCAATCAATTTTACTGTTGATTTTACGCTATCACGTGATGTCGCGATCCGACTTTCCGGATCACCACACTGTGGTTTTATGAATCCATGTCACTACTCTCTGAAACTGATGACGTAGTACACAGAAATATGACGTTATTTTTCTTGCGCATTAAAAAGTCCCTTTTTATTTTGCCTTCTTTTATGGATAAATGTTATACAATTGATTTCTAAAGTTTTATTTTGCTATATTTTGATAGTAATGAGGGGTATCTAATAAATTTATCATTATAACAATAACTTGATCCGAAGAGCCGTATCACGTCTCGCTGACAGGGGCGCGGATCATCAGATCAAACTCGACGCTGCGCGTCTCGGTAGATCTGATGATCCGCGCCTGTCAACTCGTCGTGATACGACCCTTCGGATCAAGTTACTGTTATAATAATATATATGTATTCCACCCTATTTCAGGTTGAAGACTACGCTATGTTTTTTTCTAAAAACATACATCGATTTTTGCTTCCTAACTTGTTTTGAATTTACAAGGAAACACTATACAGTGCTTAGGGCTCAACTACAATATAAGACGAAAATAGTTCAAATTTTTTTTTTCTCGTAAGAATATATATCTTTTGCATATTCATTTATATTCATAAATGCACAAAATAAAATAAATTAGGATATTTTGCATATGAATCAAATGTAAATATTAATGAATATTTGGGGCCATTATTGGTTTATTAGTTTGCAATTCATTCTATATTGTCAACCAATTATTATATAAAATGGATCATAAAGTACGAAACAAGATGTGTATCTTACATATGATTTTATTAAAGTATCAATGAATTTAATATGCACTTAGTAGTCATAAATGAACATTTGTTCATAAGCATGCTACTATGTCTGGTCGACAGGCAGACGGGTTGACATTATTATAAATGCTACTAAGATTGACATTAGTGTAAATATGTATTTCAAAGTCATAAAATATCATTTGTTCTTAAAAATCCTAATATGTCTGCTTAACAGGTCGACAGGTCGACAGGTAGACAGGTCGACAGGTCGACAAGTTGACAGGTCGACAGGTAGACAGGTTGACATCAATAATACTGTGAAGTTTGAAAGTAAATTTGTTAATGAATGTGCTTTTATATCTGGTTGACAGGTTGACAACATTATTCAGATGTATTTTGAGTTGACAATAAGACAGTTCGTATATTTAGCTCATTTACAGTAAAATGAGTCAGCATAATACACATTGTTGAGGTAATTTGGTTTCTGTGTCAAATGGAGATGTATATACATCTAACTATGAGAATAAAATTTAGACTTATAGGCATTCATTGTTCATGTATCTTATGATATAACCTGTCTACCTGTCAACCTGTCGACCTGTCAAACCTGTCAAATTGTTGTTCTTAATTTAAACTGTTGACTCATGTCTAGGCACTGGTTCATTATTTGCCGGGATAGTATTTTGCAACAGCCTTTGCAAAATGCCGTCTATCAATTCTTTAAAACACTTTCAGTCTAATAGTAGCTGCTGAGTATAAACTATACCTGGAGATCGACAGTGTCAGTCATTGAAACAAAATTGTCATGTACATTAAATGTGCACCGTTTCTAGATTTATTTCTCCATGTGTTTTTTTTTTCGAAATATCATATCAAAGTTCTACTAATCGTGAGCCTCTAACACAACATTTTACTATTTCCACAGCAAAAGATTTTTGATACCGTTGTGGATTAAGCCTTCCTAGGCCTGATCTGTCTTGGTTGTTTAGTCCGTATAGCGCTCGCGCCGTGTTCGGAAGGTCGTGAGTTCGAATCTTGCCCGCAAATGATCTAAGTAAAAAAAAAAACTGGTAGCAACGCCATGCGCTTGGCACCCTGAAGTGAATGCCGATGAAACATAAAAACCACTTAGGCACCGTGACATGGTAGACGTTGACACGAAAAGACCCTTCATTGCTGCTTGTCTCTGAGCGCCTAGCAAAGGTCGACATTTAAAGTCCGATGACGTCTCTTTATAAATTAATAATCATTCGCGAATGGGACATAAAATAACATATAACTAATCAATATTAGGCCTGAAATTGAGACCGTCAAAAACTTCGTCCATTTATGATCTGTCGTTTTGGTAGGCAAGATAAATTCGGCAGCTCAGAATAGCTGATAGAGATTTGAAAACTGTATGACTTTTGAAATTCAGATTAACTTTGTGCAAATGAGTTACTTGAAAATATATATATTCGGATCACATCGTTACCAAAATTTTTAACTCAATACATATTTTTTTCTGCCAGTGGAATCTCAATTATATAGTTATATTTCTCTCTGGTCGTTCAATCCATGCAGTTTTTTCTCAAACACGCGAGTTTCAAATCTGTAGCTCCTCCAGTATTTGTACATGTGCTGTATATGAACATTTCCTTATGAATAAAGAAAAATTCTGTTAACTGGCGAGATCGGTGCACTTTTTAAAAAATCGGCACTTGCCAACTTTTGTGCAAAATATTTAAAAGATTGATAAAAATTGGTGGAAAACATTGGAGACTTAGTTTTTAAAAGTAAATTTTTGATTTAAACTGTTGATTTTCTCCTTCTCTCACGCAGTTATTTGATGGGAAATAAAATATCCTTAATTGACAATCGAGCATTTATGGGATTTACCAAGTTAGAGTACATGTAAGTAAAACTTATGTTTGATTGACACAAATAAAGACTGAAATTCATTTTAAGGTAATAAAAAAATTATTATGCAGATGCATAAAAAGAAAAAGAAAATTTTCTGCTCAATTGTACATGCATAACTATATATTCCAAAATTTCAGTACTTTGGCGGAAAACAATCTTGCTTTTATTGACCAAAAAACTTTCTCTGGATTACCAAACCTGCGTTCTTTGTAAGTCTTTGTTTGCATATTTACATATTTACATTTTAAAAATTATGACAATAAATACATTCAAGGATCCAGTCTTGTATTCCACCATGTTTGAAGATGAAGACTACACCATGTAAATTTCCAAAAACATATACATCGACTATTGCTTATTAACTTTTTAATTACAAGAAAACTTTACAGAGGTTAGATATCGAATATCTGAAACACAATCCTTCTTCCTGTCCATATTCTTCTTCACTCTAAAACTACAGTCCTACCGGACTGGTACCAGTTATTACTGAAATATAGTATATGACGAGGGCCTTGAATCATTATTTTTTAAAGGGCCTACATCTAGGGAACCCCGATCTTTATTTAACTGGCTTCAAAAGTTCGTAAATATACTAGATTCTGTTGATTGATTGATTGCACGTTGTTTAACGCCCTTCTCGAGAATTTTTCACACATATGGAGACTAGATTCGCCAGACGTTGGACCAAATATGAATTAATAGACATTAACATGTTGACAGAATTGATTTAATGTATCAGATGTATGTCAAAGTCTTGCAGTAAGCGATTATGGGGCAAAATGAAAACCAACTATGCTTCTGTGATCAGTAATTTAGAACTACTCCCTGCTGACAAATCACTGGTAACAACGTTGTCTTTGTAAGGTTCATTGAATTTTATTTTAAAGAAGCTAGGATTAACATCCACTCGTGGTAATCCAACTTTACCTAGTAGATTCATTTCTAAGGAGGAAATTCTTTAAAATCAAATGACAGTCTTGAATAATTTTGATTTTCCCAACAACCTGAATTAATTTGAATTACATGTACTATATTTATATTGAACTTCACAAAAATCTAACAAAGATACATGGCGGGTTCCAGTTAACTTTCTACGAAGCCCCTCTATTTATACAGCCCACTTAAGTAAAAACAGTTGTGAAGAAGAAAGTTCAGGAGTGCTATGCAACAAAGTCAATATACATTTTATTCAAAAGGGTGAAAATCAGATGTTGATGCTTAAAACTTCCGAGGAACTTTTGGAAATTTAAAATCACAAAATTCTACCAAACTCAACAGCATGTAAACTTAATTGCATCTTCGCGTATCAGATTAGAAACTTTTGGCTAGCGAAGATGATAAACTTGCGATTTCAACTTTATACATGTATACAACCAATGTACACGATAAATTAAAGTCCAGGCTTTTTGATAAAAATTGACATTTGCTTTTCCAAAAACAAAATTGAACTCGTAAATTTACATACCTTGGCATTGGTCATTTTCAAAATTATTTTGCTAAAAAGTATTTTGATCGAAGCTGATAATAAAAAGACGCTTGAGTTTCTGATTGGCAATATCTAAGTGTCCAAAATCTTATACAGTATGTGAAAAAATAAAACACTTACTGTGGCCTTCAACTCGACATTAGGATATATTGATGTTGTAATAGACCACTTTCGGTTAAAATGCCGAGGTGTTTGACATCGGCAGTTCTAAGAACATCTATCTTTGTAAACAAAAATGGCGCGTCGTCAAGACGGCCTAGGAAGCCATAAAACGTACACCAAAGAAACGGATTATAACTAATCAAAGGAAAGAATTGATATGATATTAAACAGAAAACACCTTACTATAATTTGGTTTGACAAAATAGTTCATTCATTACAACCTACCCTATACCATTAACAAAAATAATGGCTAACATTTTAGGAGGTACATCACTCTGATAGAATAATTCTTTTTTGTGTTTATATTATTACAAATACACAAAATTTACAATGCTTTCTTATTGATCATCCCTACCCCATTTTTCTTTGGCAGAATATAATAAACAGTTTTATAACAATAATTGCTAAAATTGTCACTTAAAGTAGACAAGTTCTCACGATTATATGTATTCATATATCATATCTGATGAATTTGAACTAAAACAATTGAATGTCTACAATCTATATGGCTTATTGTTACAGTTGAATACATGAAACATTAAACTGTTCTCTGGCTAAATAGAAAATTTTTTTTCTCTACCCTTTGTCCACTAAGGATGCAACACTGGCGAGATGGTACAGATACATAAGTGAGCACATAAGAAATATGTATGGACAAAATTGCCTGAAACTAAGGGAAATATTGCCGAAAGTGTTGTTCATTATAACTATGCTTAATTTAGTCATATGCAAGGTCATGGCTAAAACACCACCAATACCTTAAGAAATGAATGCTCATTTCCATTTTTATGTCGATAAGACATATCCCGGTGAGCTTGACCTAAATGATACCAGAGAGTCTGACACATACGAGGGCTGATCGAAAATTATTGAGACATTGTGTACATTTTGCTTTCTTATTATCGTTTTTCGGTGAAAATTTGCATATGCGTTTGACATACAATAAGAATTAATAAAATCAAGAAATATTTTACAAATATTAAATATTTTCTCTACAATGGTATATAAATGCGTCAATAGTAGGGGTACCCGGAGCAGTCACGAAATCAGATATTGAAAATATGCAACATCAACGTTCTAACTCTTCGTGGATGCATAAAAAGAGCGAAAATAATTCAGTTTAAGTATATAAATTTTCAGCTTTATTTCAAATTCATGTCGTGCAACTTTGAAGAATTTTGATCAGAAATACGGAGATCGTAAAAACAATTAAGCGCGGTTAGAGAAATCTGCTAACAACGACAAAATGGATTTTGACGTCAAGGCTGGGCAGCGAGAGACTAAAACATTTTTGTAGCACTATGTAGAACTCTTTTCCAGACTGACCAACCAGCTGTTAAAACAATAACAACGAGAAAAAATAATGTGTTATAGTTTGTTATTTCACTGGTATACATTATTTTTTACAATTAATTTAACCAGAGTAACTATAAAAACTCGCGATGACCATGAATTATTACGTACGGTATAAAAAATCGTTACGGTATTACATTTTTTTGTAAACCCGCATTTCATAATTCGGCACTGCATGATTCTAAGTCATCATTTCCCAAACATGAAAATTGTTCACTGGGGTAGCAACGGCATACATTTTTAAAGAATAATTTAAGAAAAGAGACTGTTTGATTTTTGTAATGGTGTATACATATATGTAATAAAAAAGAAGGAAGAGTATTAAACGCTTTCCGATCCTTTTAAATGCGAAAACATATCCGACTGACGTGACGTTAAATGACGTAACGATGCTGCCCCGGGTCGATAGACACATGCATGTTTATTATTTCACCGAAACTTATCTAATTATCATAGGAATTAGAAATTTTGGATAAGTGTTTTATTCGTTCTTTATAAAATGTAAATGAATTTTCATGAAATTATCTCCGTCCGTTATGGAGTAGATGTAATTGTCTCAATAATTTCCGAACAGCCCTCGTATGTCTCATATTTAGAAATTTGATTGTTTATCGTAAAATAACAATCAAGCTTAATAAAACACGTTGTGACTTGTAACTTTTCTATCGTCAACTTCCCTTACTTATGCAGCAATTGACCTTCGCCGCCTGTATACGAGGTTAATATCTCTCAGTTGATTCGATTCGCGAGATCATGCTCTACGTATGAACAACTAAGTTAATGATTGACAAACACGTTGCTGAAGTAAGAATATCAGCAGTGTGTAAATAATAGCGTTACAATTAGTATGAAAAACGTCAGTCATCATTTCATTTAATGATAGATTGTATTTGCTCAAAAGGTCATTGTATAGACCACAGAACTTAAGAAATGAAGGCTTTAAATGAGATTGCAGATATTCTTGTTTCATCAACTTGTTTGCCTTCAAAAGTCAACGCATATAGATCATTTTCCTTTGACATATTTTGCCTAGGAGTTATTACCCTTAGCCGCCATCTTGTACGGCAAAGCAGTGAATTTACTTCTTTGTGCAACCAATTTTAAATCTGCATGCAAGAAATATATGGGGGAAAATATTTACAATCTTAAGGATATCTCCTCAGCCAGGAAGGATAAATAAAAAATTAATATTTTATTTGAATTGCATCAAAATGAAGCATAAAAAATTTCATTTTATTCATCTTGATTCGAGGTTTTTGGAAGTCCTAGAAAAGGTCTTATAAAAGTTGATATTTGTACCCTATAAAGAAGAAAAAAATCATACAGTTTTATAGAAATAAGATGTTCTTGAATACAGCCTTAGATACCAATGCTTATTAGCATGATATGAAATAAAAAGTAATTTGTGATGTCTGGCAAAGATAGAGAGAGATTTTTACACAATGCTTCACAGAATACATGGCGGAAATAGACGACAAAAATACCAAATAAGTATAAAAATCATGACAATTTCTCTGAATGCCTGGATACCTATCGTTACTTAACTTAAAATATATTTGTTGATCAATTTGCAATTAGAAAATTCATTGCTGATATTCCAATTCGCTTTTTCTGCAAAAATATTGAAGATTTGACAATTTTCCCTATCTAACATGATCTTTAATCTTTGACTAAAAAGAAATATTGTGGATAAATTTACATAACCTTGTGGATTCAGAGATACTTTTATGAGTATGTTTGATTACTTAACTGCTAATTTTATAAACCTGAGGATCGGACTACCTTAAAATTATGATTAGAGGCTTTAACAAACGTATATTCATACGAAAAATAGTTATCTTTACATCAGTAACAAGTGTAAGAAATTGAACTTGGTTAAATAATGAAGGGATATGGGAATGTTGCCCTACAATATGGCGGCTAAAAGGGAATAACTACTAGGCCAAAATATGTCATAGGAAAAGGGTCTATTACCGATTTAAGGATAAACAGCATTAAATATTCACTTAATGTATTAATCGTAGGTTGATACATGTAGCAAAAGTCTTTTAATATATACTTTATCTTTGTATTTTTACCGTTCACGGTAGCTCAGTCGGTAGAGCGCTCGCTCCGTGATCGGGAGGTCGTGAGTTCGTATCTCGGCCGCGACTGACCCAGTCGATAAAATGGGTAGCAACTGTCCCTTCGCCATGCGCTCGGCACTTTGAAGTGAAAGTTGCGGGTCCTTCGGATGAGACCTTAAAAACCGAAGCCCCGTGTCAGGGGCAGGAGTTGGCACGATAAAGATCCCTCACTTCTCAATGGCCCTGGATGCCGAGTAAAGGTAAAAATTTGAAGCCCTTCACCGGCATACGGTGACGTCTCCATATGAGTGATAAATTCTCGAGAGGGACGTTTAACAATATACAATCAATTAATCAATCTTTGTATTTAAAAAAAAAGATTTTACATGTCACAAAATTACATGAACATCTACTATTTCATTAAGATATATTTTATTACATTGCATGCAATGCTTGCTGCGATTTATGTTGCCCGTTGAACATATGAATAACGAAAAGTCGCATGTATACCTTCATTGTGAGAATTTATTTGATTTTTAATAATAAATACGAGGCAGAACTTTCAATAAGAAGTGTTTTCATTATGTTCTATAGAAAACATTTTTTTTTTTAATCGCATTTATTTTATTATAGGGATGTGCGTCTAAATCCATTTCACTGTGACTGTTTACTGGAAGGCTTTGTACAATTTATCAAAGAATTTCAACTGAATAATTCCATAGACACTCCAAACTGTGCCACGCCAATTAAACAAAAAGGGATGAGGTTGAAAGATATTTCTCCAACAGATCTGTCCTGTGAAAAATCAAGTATGATTGATTTTATCTTTTATCTCTTACGGTTAAAATCTGTTTTCATGAAGAATGATATGGTAAATTCAAAGCAACACATGCATCTACATTGCTTAAAATAATCAGTCAAAGCTTGTGAAACCAGTACCCATTAGGTTTTGCTTCACTTTTTGAATATATTATTTCAATTTTGAACATTTTGATTTAAATGATTCCATATAGATTCTTAACAACCCCTAACCATGAAAAATGTTAGTCTATTCAAGCATATCTATCGAACATTTACATGCAAAATCTGATGAAAAGTTCAACGTTAATAGAAATATTATCTAATCATTGTAAGTATGTATGATAAACCTATCTGTTTGTTTCAAATCATTGAAATGTATATGTAATTATTTCAGAGAAGAAATTTTTTTTTTTAACTAAATGAAAAATTCCAGCATATCTTAACCCTTTCTCTACCGGTAGAGAAAATTTCCAAAAAGATGATTTATAGTTTAAATACCTTTCTGCTTTCATAAAATAGATATGGAGATCTTATTTTCTCCTGTTTATACGCGCACTGGTCAATTTGACCGGTACGGAAACAAAAGGATTAAGACCAAAGACCAACGTTTATCTTTCACATTCAAGGCTCTATCCACTGTGCGAATTACAATTAACAATGAATGTTCCTGCTGTAAATCTCAAATGTTTATTTTGCCTTTAATTTCAGATGTAGGTTAAAGGAAGATTGTTCGGCCGTGTTCGTATGGTTTTTCTATTCAGGTTATTACTACTGATGGGGAAATCACTGAATAAACATATCAGTAAGGAAATAGGAAAATCATACAAATATAAAAAAAATCATAAAAAGAAAAAAATACTTGTCTAGCGAGCTCAATTATTTCTCTCGACTTCCTTCTGAAAATCTATTTTTTATGCTCTTGGTTCGATTATTTATGAATAGTTCATTTCTATATGGTAGCACAGGCAATTCTTTCAAATAAATAGTTTTCAAAGAGCTTTCTTCTGGAATAATGCAACACGCAAATATTCATTTTCTTTAATAATAGTTCCGGTCAAATTTTCATATTTTACACAGTAAATTTTAATTGTATTCATTTTACACTAAAATAACTCGAAAAAAATACGACCAAGATAAAAATTTTTAAGAAGTGGGTCAAACTCTAAGGTCAAAGTGAAAAGTTTAAAAAATATACCCACTGAAAGTTTCAGTAAATTTTGTAAATCATAACAGCCCCAGCATCAATTGTTCAATAGTTATGACAAAGGTCAAATGTGATTTTTGTGTAAAAGTGGGTTAAACGCCAATGTCAAAGTGAAAAGATCAAATTTTGTGATACCAAAAAAAAAAAAGGTTTTGTCACAAGGAATATACGCCTGTGAAATATTGAATGATAGCCCCTCCCACTCAAACGTTATAAACAATGTTAAAGTTTTTGCGGACAAACAGATACACAGGTAAAATTGCAACGTATGTTAACCATATGTTTTGAGAACCATATGTTGAACATAAGTTAAACATACGTTGAACATATGAATTTTCTGCAGTATGTTTAACATATGTTTAAAACCTATGTTGAACATATGTTTAAAACCTATGTTGAACATATGTTTAAAACCTATGTTGAACATATAGCCGACTCAAAACATATGTTGAACATATGTTTGTGGTAACCATGTGTTTAACATATGTTTAACGTATGTTCAACATATGTTTATTTCAAACATACATTTAACATATGTTTTGAGTTTGACACTTTTTACAATAAAACATCGCCAACGTCAGGAAATGTTCAACAGCTCAATTTTCCTGCCAACAAAGTTGAGAGATATCTTACATTTTAGATAAATTATAAATCAAATTCGTAATAGACTAAGTTCAGTTATCCACATTAATTTCTGGGTTACATTTTTTTGGACTGAGTATACCATTCGTAGACCCCCCCCCCCTCGGCCTAGAAACAAATCCTGGACCTGTGCCTTCTTCGTTTAAAGCCCAATATAAATTACACGAAATTTATTTTATGTTAATTGTAAACAAATGGACTTAAAAAAAAATAATAAATTCAAAAACATATATCTATATGAATTTGAATGTATATTTATTTACATTCAAGAATGTAGATGATCATTTTTTGTTTCTCTAGCTGCACCCTCACCCCCACCCTCTTCAAATCTTGACAAAATATTTTACTTTTTTTAAAACTAAATTTATCAGGTAGAAACAAAAATGTATTGTAAATTCAAACCGTTTTGATTTGGTTTATTCCGGACCGGTTTTGGTTTATATCGGATAAAAGTGTACAGTTGTGTGCCAAAAGTGAAGATAATTTTATTTTTTCTTTATTTATTTCATTGAAAACAATATTTTGTAAAATCGCTGGTATGACAACATTTCTTGACACATTTTGCCAAAAATTTCTTGATAATTCAAGAAATTGTTGTAGTTTAAAAAAACCCAATATTTTTTATCTGGTAAGTATTTATAATTTAAAAATATTGTAATTTAAGTGTGACATGAATTTTTAAGTCATATACTCACAATGAATTATATAGTCAACATTGATCTGGAATTTTAGAACTGATGTTTAGTGATGAACTATATTTTACTACATATTAAACGTGTAAAGATCTTTTAAAGAAAGATAACTACACATTTTCTGGTTTAAGTACTGAAATAAATAATTAAATTGGACAAAAATTGACCATTTACCTATGATTTTACAAAATGTTGTTTTCAATGAAATATATAGAGAAAAAATAAAATTATCTTCACTTTTGGCATGCCACTGTACGTCACATTTGACGTCACTGCTGCAGCAGAAGGTCTTGGGTGTTGGAAAAAGGTAAGTGCTCTCAGATATTTTTTGAAGAGTTTTGGCCTAGTTCATGGTGTTCAAATCATTTCATTACGGTTAAAATTACAGAGAAGCGAATGAACTTTGTGTATAGCGCAGTATTACTATCAACAAGTACAGGTCTAATGCAGTTCATAAAAGCCGACCCGGTGATCAAATAAGAAAATTTCGATTTGTTTATGATAAATGAAAAAACCATACGGATCCAGCATAACCAATTTTTCATGTAAATTTGTTTTCATTTTGTCAATAGTTATGCTTACATATTTTATACACGATCTCGATATGAAAGTGAAAGTAGTAACATTGTGTAGCAGTTGAAGTTAAGGGGAGACAGGACACATGTCACATGACTAAAAAGACACATCACGTCATAATCGGTGATGATATACATGTTAAACGTTGTTAAAATCAACAGTTCTTGTGTATTTTTTTATTCTAAATTCTAAAATTGTTTTCTAAACATTTAATTTTAGAAATTATTATCAATAAATTTTTTAAAGATCTTGCCATCATTATGATATTGTGAAGTTGCCCAATCCACACGTTTGTTTCTCTTTACCCTGCAGTCTGACGTCAGTGACGTCATAGACGTAGTGTTTGAATTCTCAGTGCAGTGAGATCAAGTACACACACCTGTCATGATCGGTTTTATTTCATAATAAACAGGTCAGAGTCAATGTATCGTGATAAATTTCTGAAGCAGATTTTTTTTAAATTAATATTTTTTCGTGTTTAGTAGCAGGGATTCTCTCTATTTAGATAATTCTGAATGTTCATATATTCGAGTGATTTCCCGCACTCGGAAAATACAAACGTGAAGCGTTTTTATCATGCTTACGTCTAATTCAACGATGTCCTGTGCGATATATTGAGGTAAGCTTCACCCCGTGATATTTATGCAGTAAATAATTACGATGAAGGACTGACATTCAATCGTAAATTTAGAAATATTTATTGACAGAATTTTTTCCAAATGAGGTTTTTGTCGTTGAAGCTGCCTTGAAAAATGCAGAAATTATCCCAAACAAATACTATATAAAATTAAAACAATTCCTTTCAGATAATTTAAACACTATGAATAATCTGAAATAATTGAGTATATAGTGTTATCTTTCATATTTATCGTTTGTGCGTAAAAATTCGCATTATGGACTCCGTTATGGGCCCGTAAACATGAAGTATCTAAACTCCATTCAAACTCTAAATAGGGCGGTATTTGTGGGGCGATATCTTTTAAATAAGTCAAGAAATCCCATGACAGGACCGTTTTAAAATGCTAAGTACATATCAAATTAGAAATATAAAAAATATGAAAAAAATTCATTGACAGGAATTTTTTCAGCTAAAGGTCCTGTTCCTCCTTAAATGTTATATTTAGATCGTTTTCCATACGGTTCTTTCAACAATTTAATGAAAACTTTTTTGTTTTTATTAGGCTTTGTATTAAACAACTGAAGTTCAGCGTCCCAGTGCCGTTTTTTATTAAAAAAAAAAACCCAATGTTGAACAAAGTTATTGAACCAATGCAGATTTTACTGGCGATTGCGTGATGACAAATCAGGTACATACAATAATATTCATAGTGTTTACCAGTAATGACTATTCAAGGAAAGAATATTTCCTGAGAAAAATCTTTTTGTACTTGTATCTTAATTCACGATTTAATGCTTTTTAAAAATAATCCAACTCTTTTTTTTACAGAATAATATTCCAGCACATTTTTAAAAACCTGTAAGATATGGCATGTATGGAGAGAATTTTCTGGCCATAAAACAACACAATGTCTACATGTATATGAGGATAAATTTTCATCTAAAGCAGACATACAAGGTACTGTAGTTTGTGTTCATGATTTACAAGTGTCAAAAGAACAATAAGAAAAAAATGTGTGTATTTAATTTTATGAAATTAATTTAAAAAATACTGAAAAAACTGAATTAAAAAACTCCAAGTATCAGTTCATTCATTGATTATTTATATAGCTATTAACATTTTAATTTTTTTTCAACACTAGAGAAACTAGAGTCTTTGTTGCAGTTAGATATGCACATAATAAACATTGTAAATAATTATTTGATATTTTTACAGGTTCAATATACAGTCAGCCTTTTTCATAATGAATACATCAAAGAACAGACACCAAGACCCCAAGCTTGCTTCAAAATAGGTAAGTAAATACTCTGTAATAAACTGAACACTTTCTTATATATTCTTCCCATGAAAGTTTTAGGATATACTGTATTCAAAATGTCTTCTTCTTTTTTTTTTTGCATGTCAGTTGTATTTTTTTTGCTATTGCTTATAAGCTCAACTGAGCCTAAGACTAGAATGATATTTTGGATTGAAGGCTGTCGTAATCGTTGTCATAGTTAACTTTTCACAATTTCATCTTTTATATAGTACTAAATCACATTACATGTAACTAAATTACCTGCAGTGTTTTTTTTTTTGTATTTCCAAGAGCTCAACCAGCAGAATTTTTACATTGTAGGCTCCACCCGTGCCTTAAGATGAGAAGTTTTCAAATTGTTTGACCATGATCTAAGGGGCTGACGAAATTTCTTAAGTGCTCAAGGTAATTATTTTTTGTGGTAACATATTTTAATTAATAATACATGTAATTATCACGACTTTGGGATTTCTTAATTATTTAATTATTTTCTTCATCATTTCAGAAGCAATGCATTCACTGTCAGGGAAATGAAGCCAGAATTGTGTAAAAATTTGAAAAATAAATGCAGGATTAATGCTTTAAAATTTGTTCTTTGAATTTCTTATTGTTTACTTAAGGCATTTAAGGACAAGTTTAATATTTAGTTCACATTGCAATTCAAGGAAATAACAATTATATATTAATATAAAAATGTAAAGAAAGAAATAAAATTAACATATGCTCAACATATGAAAAACATATGAACATAAACGTATGTTGATCATATGATCATACAAAACATATGAATAACATATGCTTAACATATAATCAACATATGTTTAGAAGCATATGTTCACCATATGTTGCTCGTTTTTTATGGCGAACATATGTTTCGGGACATATGTTAAACGTATGTTCAACATATGTTGAACATACGTTGCAATTTTACCTGTGTAGACAGAAGGATGCAGGGCAAAAACTACGATCTTCGATTACAGGGGCATAAAAATTACAAAAATTTTAGGAATATAAAAAGAAAGACATGTATTTAAAAAACAACCACTAAACATGTATGTATGGTTTGATCAGAACAGTTGATTTTACATGGTTAAAACAATGTTGTTTTTTTTTAATCCCTGGTTTGTCATCATAAAGCTACCCTGCAAGTTTCGAATCAAAAATGTTAATCACGACAACGTCGTTCGGAATAGTAATTTAGAGCATCACGAACCCGATCGTGAACCCAATTATAGGAAATTAAAAATAACATTAATCCGTCAAAATCAATGAAGCGGAATGAAATGCAGACAAGGCCTCAGGACCATGAATATAGAATAGAATTGTCTAATTTTTAATTCCAAATATCCTTCAGTTTTATTTAAGATATGTTCTTTAAAAAATTGCACTATGTATAATATTCAATTTCCAACAAATGATATTAATTTTGTTTCATTATCTTTTCTTCAAAGGTTATGTTGATTTGAAATTTTGACTTAAGTATGCTCTCAGTTTATAGTCATGAGGCCTGAACTGTACTCATCATAATACATTTATATAACAAAATCAGCTTAATATCTTCGAGCGTTTAGAAAAAGTGCGGTAAATGGACAGACTGACAGACAGAGTGAAAGGTAGATGGACAGACAGCTAGATATAAGGACGGACGGACAGACTCAGAGGAAACCTAAAGTCTCCTCCGGTTTCACCGAAAGGGGATTAAAAAGACCTATATAAGGTCTTTGAATAAAGACATTAAGAAACAAGGCTTTCTGAGAGTATTGCATAAGCAATACATGTCCCCTACCAGGGGAATGATCAAAATTTGTCCGTTGTCTGTCGTTGTCGTTGTAGTCGTTGTCGACGTCGTCGAAATTTCTCACATCTTCTCAAGAACCATTGGCCAATTTCAACCAAACGTGCCACAAAATATCATTGGGTGAAGGGGATATAAGTTTATTCAAATGAAGGGCCAAGCCCTCTTCCTAGGGGAGATAATTTTGAATAAATGAAAAATTGATGGCATTTTTCAAAATCTTTTTCTCCAGAACAATTGGACCATGAAAAATGTAACTCCTGTGGAAGCATCCTAAGGCAGTGTTTGTTCAAGTAATCATGACCCCCGGGGGTAGGACAGGGCTACAATGGCCGATCAAAGTTTAAAATAAGAATATAAAGGAATTTATTCTTATATATCTTCTTCTCCCGAACCCTTGGACCAGGAAAAAACGAAACTCATATGGAAGCATCATATGCTCATTTGGAAGCATCCTACATCTATATATATATATATATATATATATATATATATATATATATATATATATATATATATATATATATATATATATATATATATATATATCAAAAAATTATTTTTCCTTGATATAGGGATAAAATAAAATCAAAATTCAAATGATAAACTCAAACTTTTATCTAAAGCGCTTTCGCCCCATGCGGGCTCATCAGTAGATTTGAAATTGTAAACAAGTTACATTATGACGTCATTCTCGTGACGTTATGTAGGCAACGTTAAACATAATGATTGTAACGTAATAATAATCACAGTTAAATGAGGCGCACAGATAAAATTTTACAGTTCATCTGATCAAAGTTAAGCGCCTATTATAAATGTACAATAATGGAGACATTTTATATAAAATGTACATAATAAAATAATTTGATATAAATTCCTTTTAACAGTTCAATTTTGGTTTAAACAGATTTATAAAATATTGTTCTTTGGCTTTCCGTAATTGTTCATTTTCCTCTTTTATTTTGTAAAAAGGAAATGTATAAAAATGTCCTTTGCCACAAGAATCAAAGTGTTCACTACATGGCGTGTTTCTTATGGTCGGATCCTTAATCTGTTGTTTGTGCACGCGAACACGGTCGGCTAATTTGGTTCCGGTTTGTCCTATATAATTTTCCTCACATGTAGGACACGTCATACAGTATATAAGGTTTTTAGATTTACACGTCATAGAAGATTTAACGTCAAAATTCATTCCGTTTTTAAAAATAATGGTTTGGCCGGTTTTTAAAACTTGACAGGTTCCGCAATATATATATATATATATATATATATATATATATATATATATATATATATATATATATATATATATATATATATATATATATATATATTGTTGTTCCTGCACTGCTATCAAGGGTAGTACAACTTAGATCATCTGTTTACTTGTACCATGTGAATTCTAAAATGGCACTTGCATACAATATATGGTTTACAATTATTTAAGCATTGAATTCATATTTTTGAATTCATATATTTGAATACCGCGCGTTAGCGCGGTATGATAATTTGTCGGCACGGCCAGGTGTGTTATAGGACCGAAGACATCCAAAAATATGAATTCAAAGCTTATATTTACATTCTCTAATTTTCCTTCTTCATAATTGCTTATTTCGTTAATCTTTAATGTGAATTTAGCGCCCTTCAAAACTGCCGTGGTTAATAGATCTAAGAGCCGTTTGTGACGTCAAATGACGTTAAATGACGTTGCAAAGTTAAATTACAAAACAAACATTGCGAGGAAAAAAATGAGAAATAAAAATATCAAAACTCTCCGGTAAATTAATAAAAGTTAACATTTTAGTCTGCTTTCAGACGAATTTAACATGATTAAGTACAAATGTTGACGCTTTGTGTATTGAGGTGCAGGAAAGGAAAATCCACCAAATAGGGTAAAACTTTCGCAAGCCCCACGTGAATGTCGCCGAGATCCCGTTTCTTCTCCATCCATTGATCATATTATATAATTAAAGGTACTTGGACACAGATTTGAAGTCAATATTTTCTCAATAATATTACGACTTACATATTTTAATAACATTTCACACAAAAATTATTTAAAAATCTTGTTTTATTTAAAAGTTATTAAAACTTATTCTTAATCCTTAAGAAAAGTTGCAATCTTGTTGTGTATTAATGAGAAATATTAAAACTTTTATTCAGAAAAATTATTTTATTCAGAGTAGAAATGTTAGAAAGCAAAACTCCTTCACAAGTATCGTCATTCCGAACTAAGAGTTGCGTATAGAGTTTAGCAAATCGAACACACTCGTGTTATGTACACAGTTTTTGTAAACAGGGCACGGGTTCTGTTATTGTTGATGTTTACAATTCACCGGGTGCGTTCAATCGTCACAGTCTGCTTACCACAACTGCACGGACTGACAACATATTGTGTGTTTGTTTTGCTTTCGAACATATCTACTCTGAATTTTCTGGATTATAGTATTAATATTTTTTCATTTATACACAACGAGATTGCCACTTTTCCTAAGGATTAAGAATTGAATTAATCAAGTTTGATTTATAAGAATTCATAAGTCTTAATGAATGTTTTAGAATTAAAACAAAAAACTCACTTAAAGTAAGGATTTTCTATATCAAGGCAGATACTTGCAATACTACATGTAGTATCTCAATATAACTAAGGGCTAAATATAGATTTCAAATTGAAAAACTAATTACTTTTCTTTTCCTTTTTTTTTATTTTGTGTTAAAAGGATAATTGTATATAAGTTGTAGATGAAATATTAGGAAAAATCATATTAGCAATTGTAACTTTTTGGTAAGGTACAGAAAAAAATGAATAGGAAAAACATTGGACCAAATTAATATAAAAAGATTTCTCTCTTGACAGGTTTTGTGGTAGGATCAAAATGCACAGGTCGTTGATAGTGATTGAGTCTCTTAACAAAAGACATGAGAAAATGAAAGGAGATTGTTTGATTGATTGTATTCTGTTTAAAGTCCCTCTCCAGAATATTTCAATGATATGGAGACGTTACCATTGCCGGTGAAGGACTGCAAATTTAGGCCTATGCTCGGCACTTACGGCCTTTGAGCAGGGAGGGATCTTTATCGTGCAACAACTTCTGTGACACGGGGCTTCGGTTTATACTGTCTCATCCGAAGGATTACTAAATTTAGTCGCCTTTTAGGACAAGCAAGGGGGTACTGAGGACCTATTCTTACCCGGATCCCCACGGGGCAAAATGAAAGTAGAAAAAGGAGTGGAAATGACAAGAACATATTTTTGGTAATTATGTATGAAATTGAAGTATTATATATAATTTTTTTATGGGAAAGTTTGACTGGATAGGGTCAGCGTTATGATGTTGTCTTTTTCGAAGTAGAGTTTAATTTCTTCTTAAATGTTCAGCATTTTAAACATTAAGCTGTGAAAAATGTTTTAGCATTCAAAATTACTTTCAATATAAGATACATTTAAATTTCATAATTTATTTTAAATGTCCATAAATCATATTCATTGTGAGAAGATTTTCACTTCCTAGTACATGTTCATTAAAAATGTTTATAGTATAATTTGTCACAATCATTATTTTTTATCGGTTTTTATCGGCACCATAAGCTTTTAATTAATAACAAAAATTGGAATTTTTATAGCTTTAAACACAACTAGTGCCAATTCTAGTCCTTAAAGTGGATTGTTTTCCACTTAAATCCATTATAAGTGTTCATTTTAGATGAACAATTGAACCCCAATTTATTTATAAGATAGTAACATTTGGTATATGTCACAAGTAAATCATCTTCCGGCATTATGTTTGTTTTATTATTAACCTGACTTGACTGTCAATTTCAATTTCTAAACACATCCTGC